TTAACACACAAGCCTTTTAAAGTCTGCTTGAAATGTTAGGGGAAGGAGGGGATATATAACAGGAAACTTTGGGCAGAAAGGAAGAGTGGGTATTTTACAGCAGCAGAGTTGCTCAAACTACTATTCTCATCCTAAAAAAACTGACAGAGGAGACTCTGAACTTGAGACGTTTTTCTGTTTCTGACTGTAATCATATGCTTCAGCCTTTAAAACCTTAAAAACCTTCTTAAATAAAGAAGGTGTATTTTGAAACTGTACTAAGCCTTAGGATTTGTATGGGTATCAAACTATGAGTATCAAACATGCTTCTCAAACATAAAAGCTACCATAAAGAGTTAATCCAAGCATCCAGTTAACATCAAGCCCATCTCCAGACATAAGATCTTCAACGAGCATAAAAGTAGAGCAAATACATGCTATTTTTCATTTCATACCTTTCTAACTACTTTCATAGACTTTCTCAATCAGATTCCATTTCTATTTATGTATTCCACCTTAACATTTTTTAATGTATCCACCCTCCATGGATTTCTCATCCCTTGAACCCATGAGGAATTTTAGTATGTGCAGAAACATTTGTCACACTGTTTGTAAAACCTACTGCATGAAGGTATGAAAATGCTGTTGACATCTCTCTCCCCCTTCAGTTTTTGGGTGGTATTTTTGCAATAAATCTGTAACTGTCACTGACTTTATGTTAGTTTTGAAAAACACTTCTCTAATACTTCTTGGAAGATGTATCTTTCATTCAGGGTAAAATGAAAAGTCATTCCTATTTAAGTAGTATAACTGTATAGCAGTCTCTAAACAGTTGCAAACAAGGTTCAAAATACATCAACTACACACTCACAACTAGGCAACCTACAAAGACCACAAGAAAGTAACTTTTAGCACAAACTTTAATTATTGAACAAAAGAGAAATTTCTAATATTTCAGATTTTTCTATATCAGGTGCAATACATAGCAGAGAGAAATAAAAAAATAAGCATTTAAAAATTGTTTCTTAAATGCCACTTTGCACTATTTTGCCCTCCCCCATTACTTTTTTTTGTGTTCAAAAGAAGTTATTTGTTTATTCCTGATACTGAAATAATATACAAACTTTTCAACCACAGAAGAGATCTATCAGATAAAAGAATTCATTATACACAAGGAAACAGTTGTATAAAGGTCCTACCCATTAAAAATTTAAGGGTCCTACCCATTAAACAGCATCTTAAAGAATGCACACAACATTTCTGTTCAAGTCCTCCTGCATTCAGGTTTCTTTTCCCGCAACTATAATTTTACAAAACATGTCATGCTGACTTCTTAATTTACACTAACACATTAGTGGAAAAAAAAGCTTATTTGTGCAAAGCTTTCTGTGTATGAAAAAAATGGAGATCAGAAATGAGAACACACTATAAAAAAATCCACCTGTTATGGAAATGTTGAAGAATTTTGATTTAAAACTTGTTCATATTACAATTACTTGTAAGGTGATTTACATAATCATAAATTAGATGAACAACAATCTAAATAGACCATTCTAAAATTGAAGTATTCACAGAATTTCTAGTAAGCTGAAACACTCTCAGTATTTACAGAGTCAGAAACAACAGAAGCAGTTGCCTTCCATGCCAGAAATTTTGCTTTTACAGCACAACTACCCCTTTGCAAGCAGCTGACACATTATTATACACTAAACTATGTTCTTTGCTGTATTCCAATTGAAGTGGCCTTCTATAAGACAAACATTTCTTAAAGTGGAAGATGTATTTTTTTAGAAGAGACAGGAAGCATATTCAAGACAAGACGGTTATTCTGAAGGAGCAGGAAACTGAAATGGCACAGGAGATACTGGCTGGGAGAAACTGTCGCAGGAGTGGTGAACACAGTGGAGGATAACAGGGACAGGGAATACACCTGCAATGACAAGCCCACTGACCAGACAGTACAGAGCAAAATAAAATCCCAACAAGTGGGAAGCCATGCTACAAATTCACTCAGCCCACTAGCAATTAACATGGGACCAAGACAAAAACATCACTGAAGTGGTGGCTGCCTGAGATATCCAGAGCTTTTTCAGAGAAGCTTCCTACCACTTCCATATTCTGTACTTCTCACAGATCTCCAGCACATGGGTGCACTCACAGGAACATCTGAGGAGCAGCAGGGACTACTTAAGAGTAATATGTACATAACAGCTCACACATACACCTTATAGCAGCCTTCTTGTAGCTGAAGGGGACTATAGGAGAGCTGAAGAGGAACTTTTAACAACAGCATGCAGTGACAGGAAAAGGGGGAATAGCTTCAAACTGAAAGAGGGAAGGTTTTGATTAGATATTAAGAAGAAATTCTTCACTGTCATCTACAGGGCAACCAAGGAATCAGGCACACCCAGCATGGGTTTAGGAAAGGCAGGTCCTCCTTCACCAAGCTGGTCTCCCTTCTATGACCAGATAACCCATCAACTGGATGAGAAAGACTGAATGCTGTCCACCAGGACTTCAGAAAAGCTTTTGACACTCTCTCCCTCAGCAGTCACCAAACTGCCCTTCTATGACCAGATCAACTGGATGAGAAAGACTGAATGCTGTCCACCAGGACTTCAGAAAAGCTTTTGACACTCTCTCCCTCAGCAGTCTCCTGGAGAAACTGGCTCCTCATGGCCTGGTCAGGCACATTCTTTGCTGGATTAGAAACTGTCTTGATAGATGCACCCAGAGAGTGGGGATGAACAGTTACATCCAGTTGCTGGCTGGTGCTCCCCAGGGCTCTGCACTGGGGCTAGTCCTCTTTATTGCCTTTATGGATGATCTGGACAAGGGGATCTAGGACACCCTCAGTCAGTTTGCAGGTAACACCAAGTTCAGCACGGGTGTTGATCTGCTGGAGGAAGGAAGGAAGGAAGGAAGGAAGGCCTAAGAAAACTTCAGATGGCAGCAGAAGAAGCAGAAACAAGATTGACAAGTCCCCAGTTTGAGAAGCATTACAAATCTGTGCAACAGGCAATTCCACAGGAGGATGAGAAAGGGAAGCACAGGTCAGATTCTTCCCAGCCTTTTATTAACAAACTTAGTAAACAACAGAACTCATTCCCCGACTGTCTTCTCTCTTGCACAGAAATAGGTGCTAAAAGTAAAATATATCAGATTCAGTAACAGACACACACAAACACACATCCTCATGCTTTCCAGGAATGCATCCTCAATAAAGCAGATGCTGGATCCAGCACATACTATGGACCATATTAAAATAAAATTTCTAATCTCTAGTAGTTTATTGTATCACTCTTTCCCCTTCCCCTAGTTTTGCTTCAGCTGCAAACTGTGGTTTCTAGAATTCACTTTTGTAAATTATTTGAAGATGAGATTGTGGAGAAGCAGTCTGAAGAAGATCTAAATTCTATGGGCATCATCAGATATAAATATTGCTCCACTCAGGTTCCCCTTCTCAGCTGTATATAGAAATTTGTTTCAACAGCTTATCTGCAAAACTCCATGTGCCTTAGAAACACTGCTCTTCCAACATGTTAGATTCTCACATCCCAAAGGACTACACCTCAATAACCCCATTTCTCCAAACGCTCTCTATAGAAAATATGCAGAGAGATTCTGTTCCAATCTGAGAGAATAAGAACCAGAGAGATCTCAGATATTCAAGTCAATAGTGAAAAACTGTTCAGTGGACAAGGGACATTGCACACCCTTTCCTAAACAAGTGCCTGTGTTTGGCTGCAAGGCCAAATCAAGCTCACTTAACTACTTTCTCCTACTGTGGAATAAAGGCGGCTGTTTTACCTCCACTAAACTGTAGAAAGGCTTATATTATCCCAATTTGCAGGGAAATTCTTGTCATAGTATACCAAGAAGTAAACACTCCCAGTACTCATGCAAGGGGGATAACAGCATCAAACATCTGCATAGCGTAGAAAGACAGATTACAAAGTTAGTGGTCACGTAGTGCCCCAGGTATACCAAGGATATTCAAAGCACATCACTCTGTGAACACCTCAAAAAAAAAACCCCAAAAAAACAGAACCAAAAAAACCCTATAAACAAACAAAAACCAGGGAAAATTATATACTAGAGTCCCCAGAATTTTTCACTTCTCTCTAGACTGCAGCAAGTAAAACTCTCAAACTCACAATTTTTATTCTTCACCACTGCAATTAGTAAATAATTACATGATAAAATACTACTTTCTATTTTGTCCAAATCTTACACTGGATCAGATGTCACAAAAAAAAAAAAAAAAGTTTGGTAAAATTAATGAATTTTGTGTTTACCCAAAGGGTTTTAAAAAAGACTTTATTACCTGCTTAACTGAAACAGTGTGCTGAACAACATATGCCACACATTTTCTCAAAATAAGTATCATTTCAGGCTCAAACAGACAACCTCTCAAAAAATTTGCTTTTTGCACACCTTCAGTGGCTTTCAACAGACTTCAAAAATAACAAAACCACTCCTGGAATTCAGCAGTGAGTAAGCTTTAACTAATACTGAAATGGGCATCCAGTTTTTACTGTAGGCTTCTGCTCCACAGCTAAAAGAACTAGTCAACTGTTCTATACCATAGATGAAAAACAAATGTTTAAAGACTGCAAATACAACTGTAAAAGTTATGTCCTACACATAGACTTACCCCAGGATAATGTTTCAGACTATTAATAAATGTAATTTGGAACATTGTCCCTGTGCCTTTCCCCAGAAAGCCTTTCTACAGAAAAAATAATATAAAAAAATAATCTGACAGTCATAAGCAGTCTTATGTTTATGTTTGCATCTACCTAATATGTAATGTAAGAAAACTAGAAAGAGAAAATGCAACACACAAAGTTATAGATGTAGCACACTTCACAATCAACACACAATATAAAAGCATTCTTCCTCACTACACATGCCAGAGGCAACTAAAAACAACTTATAAATACCATCTGCTTCTATTGTCTCTCTAGCAATGTATTAGCAAAATACATCAATTTTAAAAATAGAGGAAAAAGTCTTACTCTGCTATATCAAGATATCCACAGGAAGCAGCTGCATGTAGAGGTATCCAGCCTTCATTATCTGGTTGATTAATATTTGCTCCATTTTCCACCAGAAATTTCACCATATCTACGTTATCATCTATACAAGCCTACAAAGAAAGAAAGAGTTAAGAAGTAAGTTGATATCAAAGCTGTTCTACAATACTGAGCATCTTTAAGCAAAATCTTCAGGAGAAAACGTGAAGTATCTTCAGTTCTGATGAGGAAGTAGGGTTTCTTTGTTGGGGTCCGGCAGCAAGACAGGAAGAATTTGAGAGATAAACAACAGGTTCCAGATTTATAAAACTTTTTAAATAAATGTGTTTAAACAGTTAAAAAAAAGCAAAAAAAAAAATTTCTCAGGTAAATGCATTCTGGTTTTCCGAGAAGACCTTTACAATCCCCACTGAACCCTTATTCTCCAGTATAAAGTGGTTCCTCAGGTCCTCACTTTGTCCCAGGCCCAGCTCAGCCACTTCAGTGGATATTAAAATTGAATGAACAGCTACACCATGAAGTAGAATTGTGACTAAGAACTGGGAAGCACTTTGAAAACAATACCATAATGTGATTTGACCTGTAATGTAAGAGAAACTATGGAGTAGATGGGGATGCTACACAGTATTTCAACATCCCCCTACTGTTTTCTACTGCAATATATTCTATACCACCATAAATCTTTTAACAGTCTATTAATCACGCATGTTTATAAACTTATTCGAGTATCAGGTTGGCAATTGCAAAAATATTATCATCTGCCCACATCTCTTAATTACCAAGCAAACAGCATTGCCCAGATGCAGAACTACTGCTGTTCTGCAGACCTCCATCTTGACTGACTCCTGTTTTGCCTTTCTTCTCTCTGTTCGAGTATTTTTCTCACAGGGTGCTCGGTGAGTTTTCTTGCCAACTTCTATCCTGCTGCCCTTAAAAGGGCAGAGCAACTGAGAGAAAAGTCCCTCTGCATTTCAGGGCAGCAAGAACTCCAAGCAGCTAGACCCCACAAGACTGGTATTAATTTTTCAGCTTAATAAATCAACAATACTACATAGCCACATGGCTGAAATGAGAACCTCTACTCCTGGGATCCTAGTTCCTACTACGGAATTACACCTCTAATGAAATGCAACTAAGGTATAAATTTTATTTTTCAGAATACTTCTGAAAAATCCCCAAAATTACATAATGTTTTCCCGTAGAAAGAAAACAACTTGGATATCCCTATTTAAGCAACTGTGTGTTCAAAGATGAATCCTGTAGCTTTCCTCTGTTCTGCAATGCTGAGGCAATAGCTACACCATGAGGAGAATGTTGCTTCCCAGTGTAACCAGCCAAACAAAACCAGCCACAAATTATCCTTTAACTCCATTTGCTTTAGTTAGGGACAGCTAGACTGCAATACACTGCTTGCATTATTTGTTTTTCAGTTAAAAACAAAACCCCATTCTTGAATGAAACCTTCCCTACCTTTTCAGGTATTCTTGAAAACTGAATCGAGAACTTCTTAGTCATACCCATCCCTAATAAAATAATTTATTAACATACGCCAGTAATAAAGACTACAAGTTTGTTAACCATATTTGTCTTCAATTTCTCCCACTTATCAACAGTGTACAATGATTATACGCTTAAAACAAGCTCTGAAAGAAGAGAATCACCTTTTTGTAAGACATTTTGTAACTTAGTGAAAAAGAATCCAAATGCAAGACATGGTTAATCAGTTTAGGAGGAAAACAAATTCAAGAAACTCAGATGTTTACACTTAACAGAAATATCAACTATATGTACCCATATATCCAGTTTTTCTGGATATTCAATTTGTCCAACCACTCATATTCTACATCTATAATAATATTCACCATCTAATTATAAGGAAAATTAAATTTATATCAAAAATATTTCTGATGCAAATATTTGAGTATTAAATTTTAATATGCTGCATGCTTATCTTAAAATTTCCAGGAATTCATCATCTGTGGAAAAAAGCTATCTTAAAACTGATTAGCACTATTAACAAAAAAACCCAAAAACCAACCAACCAATCAACCAACCAAACAAAAAAAATCAAAAAACAAGACCCCAACCATCTGGTTGTGACACAACCCAACAATCCTTGCCTATTTTTCAAATATACATGAGAAAACCTGGCAAGATATACTCATAAAAGTGCTGTTGCTAAGTGAATCAAAAGCTTACATAGGCAGCACATTAAAAGACATATGACTAAGTGGCTAAAAATATTTGACCAAATTTGGGCAGTTTATTGTGCCATATATGGCAACAATCAGGAGAGCTCAAATGCACTTATCAGGTATTATAAGAAACTGCACATTCATAACAACCAAAAATATTTTATTAAAAACTCGCTGTTGTCTCCAAAAAGGTAATACCTATCTTAAGTCTAATACAACAAATTGCAATTCATTCTATTGCTTTTAAACACGAATCCACTGCATCTTATGTCTCCATGTCCCCTTTTTCTTAACAGAACTACAGGCAGGTGTTGGATAGATTCTGTCACTCTCAGCACTTTCCATAGGAAAGGCACTTCTCACTATCATCATGTACCTTAAGACAGAAAGCCAAGAAACAAATGTTATAAAAGAAATTTTATCTAAATGTTTTTCCATTTCCCTGCACTGCTCACTTCTAAAAGCAATATTTATCAAGTGTCAGAAGTGCCTCTGTTGTTAAAGACTGACATCTCAACCACAAAAGGAAAGCTTGTCAGAGCAGCATGATAAACTTAAAGCAGTAGCCTCTGAACATAATGCCCTTCTAGACCTCAGCCTGCAAGTTATTACAAAGGAAAAAGCAACGTACATGCAAGACATAATCAACTAGAGTTCCACTGATGCTGCAGTAACTTAGAAAGATAAATTCTCACCATTCTTTCTGTCCCAGAATCTGAACAGAGGACGCAGACAGCTGCAGGTCTTCCTTTTTCACATTTATTACAGAGATCCCTTTCAAGATTCATCTCAGTTCTTTGCAGTCATCTGCCCTTATCCCCAGACTCTCTCTTCATGACCCACAGTTCCTGTCTAGAGCATCAGTTACCACTTAGTGAAACCACAGGTCATCCTAAAGCTCTTTCCAAGTGCTTGCAAAACACAGCTGTAGAGCACCTATACCAGCCAGCTCCTAGGGCAAGCAGGACATAGGAGCTCACACATAAGACACCCTTCATCCCATGAACTGTTTTCTCTCCCTCAACCCCAGCCTCACCAAATGGCAGAAAGGCATTTCCGCATGAAGCGCTCATTACCCTGCCAAATTTGACCTAAGTTAGCAAACAGGCCTCAAACAGAACAACAGCTGCCAGTGCTATCACAGAAACCTTTTTTCCTTTGAGAACCAATTTAGAAATTAGGCTAATCAGTCATAAAGTCAAAGTAAAGTTGAGAATACAAAGTCTGGTTACCTTTTCTGATAAGAAAAGGGAAGTACACTGAGGTCCAGAAAAGAAAACTACTTTCCATTTGTACAACAACCTGAAACTTGGACTGCAAAGACGAGCAAAGATCAACAGCACCTGGCTCCCACACAGACAAGTCCTAGGTAGGTCTAGCTTGTGCTAGAAACAACATTTTAACCTTTTCCCATAAATACTCAAAAGGGGATAACAGATACCTGTTAAACATGCTAGACTTTAAACTGACTGTATTTGCCATGACTTTGTATTCCAGTGCAGTGGCAGGTGATATAGCTGCCTCTTGATACTATGTGTTAAGAACATAGATGACAGGGAAATATAACTTAAGTCAGTAGCCTTAAAAAGTGGTAATTTTAAAAGAAACATCAGAAGTTCTTGGTTCTTCAGTGAGTAAGCACCCATAGAATTCAGCAGAGAGCACTCTTCCCCAAAAGACAGGAAAAGAAGCCTGTAATTATTTTGAAAAAATCAGAAATCTTGTAGGGAAGGAAGCTATCAGTCTGTTAGACCACTGTCCCATATTCATGAAGCAGAGCCATACACCATGCACCCTACATGGGGCTACAATTTATACTGATTTTCATTAATGCTAACATCTAAAGAGGTAACATAATCTAATTTAGGCGTTCAGACATTACACTTCTTTTAACATGCTTCAGTAAAATTTGTCTCCATTCTCCACAGAGAGACGAAAACCTACCCTTTTACTCACTAGATCAGTATTCTGATCTATTCCATAAATTATTTTGCATCTATTAGGAAAACAAACATTTTTCGTTTGACACCTCTGCCATCACATTTCATTTTTTACTTTTTTACTCCTGGTACAGAAAAGAGCTAAAACCTACCCTTTTACTGACTAGATCAGTATTCTGATCTATTCCATAAATTATTTTGCATCTATTAGGAAAACAAACATGTTTTTTGTTTGACACCTCTGCCATCGCATTTCATTTTTTCTTTTACTCCTGGTACAGAAAAGAGTCAAAAATATGAACACAGAAGAATATTTTCGTTTGACACCTCTGCCATCACATTTCATTTTTTACTTTTTTACTCCTGGTACAGAAAAGAGTCAAAAATATGAACACAGAAGAATATATTAAAGGGATAAAATAAGTCCAACAGCCATTCTGAATTGCCATGTGAATACTGGAACCAGGAAGAAGAGCTCACACAGAGGGTCTGGAGTATAGTTGGTCCCCTCTTTCAATTTTTCAAGTGAAGTAATTCCAGTGGGTCCAACAGGACTTAGCAGGACATGAACATCTGTGCCAATGTACCCAGGAATCAAATCAAAGCAGCAGAGCTGGTTAAAAGTGGTTCCCATTCTCTTTGCCTTGGGTTGCTTGCTCCTCTGCCATCACATACCACACTCCCTTACAGCTATGCTGACACATTGTGCTAAACTGAATCTACACTGGATCAGAAAGGCAATTAGAAATTAAAATGAAATAAACAAGAAAAAGGAAGAAAAATACTCTTATCTTTATCTGGTTAAAGCAGAATTATTTGCTTTGATTATATTAAAATGGGTTTTGTATTCGGAGAAGCAGCATTGTTCTGAAATTAATTTTCATGTCCTAATTCCACTATCAAAGAAACAAAATTTAGTTTCACTCTGAATTTTCACCCATTATAATGCCTGTTAAAGCTTCTTGTTTCAAACTGACA